ACACTGCAAAGCAACCCTGTCCATGTAAAAGACCAAATCCCTAAAGATCCCCTATTTAATTGTGTCTATAAAATAAAATGATTGAAATGTGATACGATATACATCGGACAAACATCGCTGGTGAGAAATCAAAATCAGAAGAAATGAACACCGTAGAGCGGACTCTGTTCGACCACCGAGAAAGCCAGTTAGTGAACTAGAAAAGCTTGAAAAATTATCAGCCATAGATCTGTCTACACGCTATAGAATTAGGCTACAAAAGTGATTTTGACAATATTGAAATTATCCAGAAAAAGCATTTCAGAAATCACAAAGAACGTCTAACATCATCAGAAGCACTTCATACCAAATGGAATCCAAATTGTCTTGAATACTCTGAATGATGGACTAAAACAGAATTTGACACCCGCGCCCTCCCTCACGAAATGACAAAATCAACAGGAATGTGATAAGCAATTTCACTATGTAAACACACGCTGCTTTTCCGAAATTTATACACTTATCAAATCCAAAAGTCTACACTTGATTTTGTTATCTTTAAAAATTGGCCAATTTGATAACGAAAAATGACCACATGTTGAGGAACGATGGTTAACTCTATTATGGATAAGATTTTATTTCGACAAATCACACAGCGTTATACAGTGATATTAACTGATGACCACGTTTCAAGCACAAACTATTGCTCATAATCATATCAAGTTACTCAAACAAGTTTTTACTTCATTTATATACATGAATAAATGAAGTTTAAAGTTGTGGCGATAGTAGGCAGCCTTGTCTTACTCCCGTCCTCACTTCGAAGGATTCCGTTAGTTTCTCGTTGTGGATTAATTGGCATGCAGCATTGTCGTACACCTGTTGGATGAGATGTATAATTGTCGGTGGCACCCGTTGGTAGTAGCGAAGTAGTTTCCAAATCACCTCTCGATCGACTCTGTCAAAGGCCTTTTCAAAGTCGATGAAGTTGAGATAGAGAGGTGACTACCATTCAAAGCTTTGTTCAATGATGATCCGTAATGTGGCGATCTGATCAATGCATGACTTGTTCCTCCTGAATCCAGACTGTTCCGGTCGAAGTTTTTCATCCAGGGCATGTTTGATTCTCTCCAGGATGATGCGGCTTAGTATTTTGCTTGGGATGGACAGGAGCATAATTCCGCGCCAGTTCTTTCATTGACTTAGGTCTCCTTTCTTCGGTAGTTTGAATAAGTATCCTATCTTCCAATCTTCGGGTACTTTGCCTTCTTTCCACACCTTCTCCAGTAGTGGCGTCATCAAGTCCTCTGTTGTCTCTGGGTCCGTTTTCAACGCTTCTGCTGGGATTCCATCTGGTCCTGCTGCTTTTCCAGCTTTTAGAATCTTGATTGCATTCAGGACTTCTGATTTCGTCGGGGGGTTGGTGTTCACTGGTAGCTCTGTCTCCGTTGTTGGTATTGTTGGGCGCGTTGTAAGTGGTGGTCGATTTAGGAGTCTTTTGAAGTGTTCAGCCCAGTGTTTTTTTGCTCTACTTCTTTGGTGAGTGACTTTCCGTTGTCATCTTTAACTGGCTTGATTTGTGTCAAACGTTTGCCCGATAGGTACCTAGTAGTTTGGTAGAGTGTTGCGAGGTCTCCTTTGCCTGCAGCTTGTTCTGCTTCACTTGCCATGGTTTCATAGTACTTTCTTTTGTCTTCTCTGGCACTCTTCTTTACTCTTTTGTTCAGTGTTTTGTAGCTTGCGTTCAAATCCTGTTTTTGTTGCTCGTCGGTGCACTGGAGAATCTTTTGTTTCACCATCCCTCTCTCTTCTATTAGTTTCCAAGTGTCCCTAGTGAGCCATTGTTTGTCCTGTCTCTTCTTTCTGCCTAGAACTTCCATGCAGGTTTGACTCCACACTGTCTTCAAGTTGTTGCAGTGCTTATTGACGCTGACCTCTTCGCCAGTGTTGATTTGTGTCTCGGCTTTGTCTTTTATGCTTGCAGTGAAGATGTTGTTTGTGTCCTGGTCCTTCAGTTTTTGAGTGTTGAACTTGGCTTGTGGTCTATCTGCAGCTCCTGATTCTCTGAAGGCTTTTAATTTGATTTGGATTGTCCCTTGTACGAGATAGTGGTCTGAGCCAATGTCTGCTCCTCTTCTTACTTTCGTGTCCAGCAGGCTTCGCCTCCACTTCCTTGAGATTGAGATGAAGTCGATTTGGTTTTTGGTTCGCCCATCTGGTGACACCCATGTAGCCTTGTGACTATCCTTGTGTTTGTATACGCTGCCACCAATCACTAGTTAATTGAAGGCGCAGAAGTCGGTGAAGAGTTCTCTGTTTTCATTCATTTCTCCGAGAGCTTCTCTACCCATGATGAGTTCCCTTCCTGTGTTGTCTGATCCCAGTTTAGCGTTCATGTCTCCCATTAGTATTTTAATGTCGCCGACTGCAGTATTGTTCATTGTTGCCTGTAGTTGTCTGTAGAATTCTTCTTTCCTTTCGAGGTCTGCGTTGTTTGTCGGTGCATAGCATTGTATAACTGACACTTTCCTTCCTTTGGAGTTGAATCTGGCGGTTATTATCTTGGGCGAGATCGCCTCCCATTGCATCAGAGCCTTCGTTGCCGTTAGTGACATCATGATAGCCACGCCCTCGGTGTGCGAGTGGTTATCTTCTGGGTGACCGGAGTAGATCACTGACTCACCCGTTGACAATTTGGTGAGTCCATTCCCGTTAGCTTGACTAATATAGTATCTAAAATCCTAGGCTCAATAATACTGCGTAGACTAAGTGGTGCTCGGGAGACACAAACACGAGAAAACCAGGCAGGTTTTAGGCCAGGTAGAGGGTGTATTGATCATATCTTCACCCTTCGACAGATTCTAGAACATAGGCATTCCTACCGGCGTCCGACAATCATTATATTTCTTGACCTAAAGGCAGCATTCGATTCTGTCGACCGGGAGGTTCTCTGGCGATGCTTGGCTGTAAAGGGAATGCCCAGAAAATACATTGCACTAATTAAGGCACTCTACTCGTACTCATGCAGCCAGGTGAGGGCTTATGGCGAGTTGTCATCTGAAGTGGTGACGACTAGTGGCGTCCGTCAAGGATTCCCATTATCCCCATTCCTATTAAACTTTATCATAGACGTACTAATGGACTTAACCCTAACTCACTTCAGCGACTCAGGGATTGACTTGCTACCAGGGAAGAATCTCGTTGACTTAGAATATGCGGACGATATAGTCCTTCTAGGCGAGGACTCTGACAAAATGCAGAGTCTACTGAACACCTTGATCAGCAATCTTCGTATGTTTGGCATGCGATTCGCCCCTGTAAAATGTAAGATGATGCTGCAGGATTGGACTTCACCGACCCCTAGATTAGAAATAAGAAGTGAAGTGGTAGAACACGTCGACCGCTTCACTTACTTGGGAAGTACCATCAGCCCCAACGGGTTGACCTCCGACGAAATCTCAGCACGAATACAGAGGGCGAGGTACGCATACGCCAGTTTACGCCGTCTCTGGCTTAGTAGACGCGATATCCGACTATCGACCAAAGGGCGTGTGTACTGCTCAACAGTCCGCTCCGTCCTCCTTTATGGCTGTGAGACCTGGCCATTGAGAGCAGAAGACATGAAAAGATTAGCTGTCTTCGATCATAGGTGTCTGCGTTCCATCTCCCGTGTGAAGTGGTATAATAAGGTGAGCAATGTTGAGGTTAGGCGTCGAGTACTAGGTAAGGCGGAGAAATCAATCGACGAAACGGTGAAATTACATCGACTGAGATGGTTAGGACATGTGCTACGTATGCCTAGTCATCGCCTTCCTCGACAATGGGCAATGTTAGCTGATATAGGGCCAGGCTGGAAAAGAGCTAGTGGCGGTCAAACGAAAACTTGGCACCAGTCAATGAAATCCACAACAGTTAGTCTAAGCCACGTAGGAAGATGTAGACTTCCTGGTTGGGGTCCTCGAGATGGTAAAAACCAATGGTTGGAAACTATTGGTGACATGGCTCAAAATTGTTCTCAATGGCTGGCGCAGATGCATCCACTCCTTGTGACTTATGATTTCCAATTAAACTGTTTTGTTCTCCGTTATTACTATTCCTTTGTCTCACACCTCTGTTTACTGTCTCTATTATTCATTTCTTCTACTTTCTTCTCTTGCTTTGCGTGCAACATGGAGTGTGGCGACTTGAACTGCGGCACATATGTGCAAAGTCCTATGTCGAAAACCGATCGACCGACCATTCCCGTTCCATCTGCTTCCACATATTCCCAGTACTTGAATTCCGTATCTTTTCATTTCGTTTGCAATCTGGGCGGCTTTGCCGATCTCGTACGTGCTGCGGACATTCCATGTCCCCACACAGACTTTTTCTTTTGGCTCAAGGAGATACATCGTGCTGAAGTTTCTGTAGCAGGTTTGTTTACAGGGTGGGGTTACTAGCCCCACGCCTGAGAAGGGGGGTTGTTACATTAAATTATAATTTAGAGAGAAGCGACCTTGTGGGTTGCTCCCCTTAAAATAGGAAAACAGGGAATAAAACAAGCAGAACAACACCAGCACGGGAAAATAGTACACAACAAGAAGGGTAACAAGCCACAACAACAATAATAATATCACAGTCAATTACAGTTAACCAAAATGATACCAAAATCATAGACTCACTGAATTGAGCCAACTTGAACATTTAAATCCATCAATATGTACAATTATAGGTATTAGTTAGTGTTAAACAAGCACAGAGTGGCAAATAGATAGTTATAGGTATAATTGATATACAATATTATGTCCAAAGATTCAGTGTTTCAAAGGCAATAATTGTAATAGTTTTTTGCAACTTTTTGACAAGATATTCCACAAAAATCAGAGTTTTAGGTAACTACGCAAACGTAACGCAGTAATCGAAAAGCGCGCCATCAATAATAATATAATGATAATAATAATTATTGTTATTATTATAATGAATCTTTAACTTTATTGGTTTTGATATACGTCTATATGTATAATGTTTACTTTATTTTCTAGCCGAATGATTCCGATTCAACAGATGATCAAATCGTTGATCCTGGAACTGATTTATCCACATTAATACAAGCACATTTTACACAAATTGAACATGTTGCCTCATCAACTCAATGTGAATCATGTGGTAAACGTACTCTACAAGCAAGAAGTCTAAAACTCCAACAACTTTCATCTCATGTATTAATATGCTTAAATTTATTTCGATATTGTCGTGTAAAACAAACCTGTTCAAAAATTATGCATCGTGTACGTATACCAGAACGGTTATCAGTGACAGTGTCTGCATCAAATACAGAAACTTCATATGCATATAATAATAATAGTAATAATAATACTAATGGTAATAATGATATATCTACATCGAAAGATTCAACAGGCAAATCTACTAAATGTCATTCAAGGACATACAGTCTTCAAGCAATGATTGTACACAGTGGTGTCTCTATTAGTTGTGGGCATTACACATGTGTCGCTAAAGTTGGCATGCAATGGATACTATTCGATGATGATAATGCTGGGTATACAACGCTAGAAGATGTTTATTCTGAGCCTCTGGCTACACCCTATCTACTATTGTATAGTCAAGTTTCTTGATTGATAAAAGAGTTGTTTGTTTTTGTTTACTTTGTCCTCTTTCAGTTTTGTTTTTATTGCTTTTCTTTTTTTCGGAGGGTGTCGCGGTTGGTGTTCCACTGTAATTCTCATTTCGTTTAGTTTGTATACACACTTGTTTCTTTGGACCCACTGTTTTCAAAGTATTTCCAGTCGGTCAGTATATTAAGAAATGTTCTTCGATTCTTGTGTATTTTCTCTCTCTCGTATATGTATGCAGTAAGTTTTTAGAAACCGTTAGATGGCAGAAAAGTGATGAATACATACTTAACTTGAAGAAATTTGGTTTTCATTGTACTATTAACTTAATTAGCTTATAAAATTTTCTCATTGAGTCGTACAAAAAAGAAAAGATGTTTTGGTGAAGAGTGTGACTCCGCTTTTCAGCAGTATTATTCTCAATTGATATAAGTATAAAACTTGAGCACTTTGGTAGAGTATAACTCCATTAAGGATAAAATTTTTATTTCGATAAATCACACAGTGGTGTTGTACAGTAATATTTACTGATGACCACGTTTCGAGGACAAATTACTACTGCTCATAATCATATCAAAGCACCACTCACACAACTTTTTTCCTTCATTTATATACATGAGTGCAATCGATGATTACATATTTGAATAAAAATCATTATGAGATAATGTACATTCAGAAATAATAATAATATTAGTGTTATCAATCAAATACACTCAGATGGGAAATAAGACGAGTGTTTTTACAGTCAAAATAAGTAACTTGTCAGGATGTTGTAGTGTGCTTGAATTGAATATTATGAATTACCAAAACAATTATCTCTAATATTAAGCCCCATTAGAAATCGTCCAAACTCTAGGCTAACTAACTAATTCATATGAGATGAAAAAGAAACTATATGACATTAAGTTAAAGAAAAGTGATTTTAAAAAATGGTTAGTTTTGATATAACTAGTCTTTATACTAAGGTACTAATCAATATGGCCTTAGAAGCAGTTAAAAAAGAACTAACTGCAGATATTGAACTCACTCATAGGACGAAGCTACCCATTGAGAAAATTATTTTAGGCATTCAGTTATGCCTCACATCTACTATCTTTAAATTCCAAGGCAAAATATATAGACAAACAGAAAGTGTAGCAATGGGATCACCAATTTCCCCTAGCGTAGCAGATATCTTTATGAACAGGTGGGAAAATATTACTCTTAATGCATTTAATCCTACTCCAAAAATATGGTGGAGATATGTGGATGACACCTTCACAGTGTTAAAAACAGAACATATCTCTAGCTTCTTGGCACACACGCATACACTCACTAGTAGAGTGAATAAAATTCACATTTGAATCAGAAAATGAACAAGGAGAATTGGCTATGTTAAACTGTAAAATAAAACGAACAGGAGAAGGTAAACTGTACACTAGTATTTATAAAAAGCCGACGCATTTTGCTAATAGATATTTAGACTTTAATTCATCTCATCCTTTAACTGTTAAGGCAGGCTTAGTTAAGTGTTTAACAAACCAAGCAGTAGCACTAAGGAGAACAATAAAAAACCTAAATGATGAAATAAAACAGATAGAAGAAGCGTTGATATCAAATAATTATCCTATAAAATTCATTAGGAAGATTGAAGAAGGCCAAAAGCGAAATAAAAATAATTGTGAAACTAATGATGATTACATAAATGTCCCTTCTGAGGAGATTCGAACCCGTGTCACTCATTGCTGTAGTCAGAGACGTTACCACTATGCTATTATTTGTGAAAACTGATATCCAATCGACTCCATGTTAGTAAACAGTAAAGCAACATACTTATTTATATCCGGTAATTTTTAGTTTAAATTGTCGTGCTACTAAGTAATTGCAAGTAGTCAGAAAACAAAACTGAAATTAAGTTGGTTGAATCATTCTGTGGACTGCATTAAATAAATAATCTGTTTTACCTAGTATCTAGTTGACACGCTGCAGAACCTCGCTTATCCGGCATTAATCCCAGTAAAGAGGGGATGCTGGACGCTAGGTTAACAACCCGATTTCTCAAAAACAAAACTTCTCTTGAAACTCCAAAGGTGGGAGCTTGAAGCCCTATATCTCATTAGGAACGCAAAGTAATGAATGTATTATGTAATACACTGCAACGATTGTGAGGTTAAATACATGGGTCAGAATAGTAGGCTAGATTAGTTAGTCCAATTAGTGGAGCAGGAAAGCTTAAAAAATCGTAGGTTAGTAGGACTTAAAAAAAGTTCAGCTATAGCGCTATATATGATAGAGAAGATTTGTAGCTCAGGTGGATGATTTTGATGTGGTTGTGTTCTCTGAGCTGAATAGTTAATTTGCGAAGCTTTCATTGCCCTACTAGGCAACATCGCTTCAGCGCATACTTCAATTCGTTGAAGTGAGCTTTCAGATTCCTCGACGAGTTTATTAATCATCTCTCCTGGTGAACTTGAACCTCATGATTGGTTTTTTTCGTGTTTCCACACCCTCTAGGCTACTTGTTTTGGAATTGATTGTTTCCTTGATCTGAAGTTTGACCCTTTGTGTGTGAGATCTCCTTCTTATGGAGTGGTAAATTTCGTCTATCTCGATGTGTCTATTGATTGATGACTCACCGGAATACCAGGCTTCTAGAAATTCTCTAGCATTCTTGGTGTTTCCTCTGTCTTTCCCAGTCGAATCGATATCCGTGGTTGTCTGTATGTAGTGATATGAGGGAGTGGATGTCATGTCTTTTGACGGCTAGTTTATGATCATGGATACGAAGACGAAAGGGACATCCACTTTGGCTAATGTAGTGTTTTTCGCTGTCGTTGCAACTTATTTTGTAGATGATGTTGGTTTTATCTTCTTTCGCTGTTGAGTCTTTTGGTTGACATAGAACTGAGTGAAGTGATTTTGTTGGTTTGTGTGCGACCTTAAATTCCTAAAGGTTTGAAGAGTCTTGCAGTGATTTCTGATATATCTTTTATATATCGTAGGGCAATTTTCTTTGTGCTTTCCTTGGGGGCTTTTGGTTTGATAGGTTGGATTGGGATTTTGTATTTTGGACGTCTTAGTCAAGCGAACAGCCACAGAGGAATTAGAAACTCAAGTTTATAGAAAATCAAATCACACAGACCAAATACTGAATTACAACAGCAACAGTCCAATGACACACAAAAGGAATTTTATACAAACACTATTAAAGAGGGTCAGGACTCATCGTAGCACTCCCACCTTAAGGAAAATTGAAGAAAGATATCTCATAGACGTCTTCCAAAAGAATGGTATTTCATCAAAAGACGCTTCAAATTGAAATATGCGCTGAAGATGTTGCCTAGTAGGGTGGGCAATGAAAGCTTCGCAAATTAACTATCCAGCTCAGTGAACACAATTACTTAAAAAAAATAGCACTATATGCATTTACATGAAATCATCGTGCGTTATGGAACAAGGTTACAACACTGAAATCTAATGAAGTGGGTTGGAGAAAGAGAATGATAAATATAAGTGTGTTCATCGAATCGATAGGAATGGTTCAACACATATTCTGAACATCTGGAAAATCCTGCTACGCTTACGATAGATAGGAAAGGGGAAGGAGAAGTATAAATATCGAGTTTCGAATCTGTGTATTTACTGGTCATGTGGTTAGGAATGATAAATTGTGTTCGAAAAGTCATCCAGCAAGTGATACTGACACATAAAGTTGTTTATTCCTAATTTCAGACCTCTCAACAGTAGAATCCCAGCGTCTTTAGGATGTATTCCAAGCATGTTAGTAGTCAGCTGCTGAAGCAGAATCCAGTTTCACGTGCCTCACAACTCCTGCTAATTCACAGCATAGCAAAGCAATTATCAGTAATTAACCTCTACTCAGATGTAACTTGTATGACTCAACTTGTCTGGGCCTCTGATGAGATTTCTCGTGAAATTGTGCCTTTTTACACTACATAGCAGTAGAATGTTCCTGATAAACTGCTAGATTCCCGAAGATCTTCATCATATGAATGGAGTTGAAACTTTTATTATCATCCTGAAGAGATGTACCTGAAAGTGACTTATAGGATTTTTTTCGGCATTCTGAAGAGTTTATGATGGGTGGCACAGTTGGTATAACTTATAGGTAAAGCCCTCATAACACTCCAAGTGAACAGATGGTATGAAATTAGTTGATAGCAGTGTATCGTAATGGCCTTGAAATACCTTTTCTTATAATCGCATGTTCATGGTTGATAGTTAGTTGGTTGCTTCTTATTATTATACTTTTATTATTCCCTTGAGTTCTAAGTAGAATATAGGGCTTCAACAGCACATCTCTACTTTTTCCTGTTCTCTGCAGTTCTCTTCATCTGATCCCGCAATTGCCCATAGTCCCTTATCTCCTCCTCACACGACCTCCTCCATGTCACGCCCTGACTGTGAACCCGTCGGTTTTCACTCCAGTTCCACTTGAGCGGTGGAGTAGCCCGGGATTTCACCCAACGGCCTCCTCAAGATGTGTCCGATCCATCTCTATTTTCTTCAGTAGATTTTTTGGTCAATAGGTTCATGGTTAGTTCTCTGTCAGACGTCTTTATTTTTGATTCTTTCTGACTGACCATTCAATCTTCGTTGCAGGGTTAACACAACTGTCTTCCCTGTTAGAAATGCCTACTACAAGTGTCGGAGGCATAATGATTAACATTGGTGTTGAAAATCCAAATTTTCTTGTTCATCCTGAGTTCAGAAGATTTCCCTACTGACTTCAGAGTGATGAAGGTGTCTCGCCTTCCCGATTCTGGCTTTCACGTCATCACCATCCGTGCTGTCGCCTGTAGTTGAAACAAAGCTTCCTAAATGAGTCAAGGGAGTGACCTCTTTCGGAATTCTTGCATTGATAATGATTGGTTCTGGTTGTTGTTATTGTCGTTGGTTAGCTGTTTTCATCACCTCCGTCTTTTCTGTGTGCAATTAAAAGCCATGACTTTGTTGCCAGCCTCTTCTCCTCACTTGTTTAATTTCACCTCGACAGCGAGTTTGTGTGACACTAAACATAAATCATCCGCAAAATCCAGTCCTTCTAGATTCTTCTTATCCGGCCAACGTATTCCTGCCTTCTCTCTCTCTCCACATACAGTGTTCTTCACAATCCAGTCCACCAAAATTAGGACTATCATCTATTATAGTAGACTGACAACGTTGTCTATCTCCTGGCTTCCCTTCAAAGTCTTCTTCGTTATGAATCACTTGACATTGTAGCATTGTCATCTAGCCAGCTGTTGAATGAGGATGATAAAAATTTTCTGCACTCCACAGTGTTGCGCTTTATTCCCCCCCCCCCCCAAAAGCCATCAC